ATGCGTCTACGGTTTTTCACGTCCATCTGCGATAAAGGAATGAAAGTGCGCATATTGTCCACTCATTATATGAACATCTGAATCAGTAGCAGTGTGCGTCTGATGTACACTTGAAAAGTACGAATGGAGTGCACAACTGGATGCATGCTCTGATCGCGTGTACGCATGATATAATGGGTGTACAAGCAGAAAGTACACACGGAAAATGGCTTTTTCTCAAATTACACGTCGTTCAATCGAATGCTTCCTTACAACTGAGCAGGCTACCGATGATGACTTCAGTATTTATGCCTCATGCACCAATGAGTAGAATGAGAGAGAGAGAGTCTCCACTTTAATGTTGAGACAAATCAGATTGGGGAAACCTCTCATTTCCAAGTCCACCATAGACATTGGGCATAACGCGAAATCTCTTGTCTGGGAAAAACGCCCTCAACTCCATTGTCGAGCACGTTTCCCGTACCGTGATAGATAGAAGGGCTTAGCTTTTGCCTCGCAAATGGAAAATCGGATCGGATTTCACTCGTCAAGAGGAGACATGATATGGAACAAAATGATCGTACAGAGCTCCATTCCATGAAGGAGTGAACATAATGTCAACTACCGGTAGACTTGCGGACACAACTCTTGGAAACACGCGGTAATTCTGGCGTGGTTGCTTCGTAATTTTATTTATTAAACAAGAGTGATTGCTTGGTCGCTACCCAATGGCAAAGGCAGACGGCGAGTGGCCTGATTAGTATGAGACTGCTCGCGCCACTTTACCATAGCCAACTTCTTCGACTTCATCCCCAAGAAGACATGCACTAACGTGTTGGGAACTGACCACTTGCGATAATATCTTATCATCAGATAAGGCAGTATTGAAAAGGGGTAATGCAGTTCATGACAATGTCGTATAGAGTGTCGTGTCTTGTGTGTGGAACTATGTTTCCTGCCCCGTTGCTTTGATTATCCCTAACCTCTGACAAATGAGCGTGAGATTAACAAGTGGAGCATACTCAACTGCAAGGTTCAGATCAGTTGGCATGCACGAGCCGAGTGCCAGTCGTTGCTTATTTTTAACGATGATCGAGTCAAGGCGTTCAGTGGCGCGATAGATGACATAGCATGAATTCGATGCTTGTTGGGCAATCAAACTGGTATTTGATTCCTCTACTCGATGAGTATAATTACACTAGTCATCAATCTCTCTGATGGTGCCCGCAGAATCAATTTAATTGAACTGATCAAGCTGATCATCCCTGCCGAGCAAATTAGATGAGCGCTCAGCCTCTGACAAGATTGACTTTTGCCATTGAGAACTAATCAGACCTCTCGCTAGTGAGAAAGATAGAAAGGAGCGGGTGAACATACGATTCGTTCTCGGCCGTTTCGTACGGCATCAGATGGTGGTGTTCGTGTCATTAGCGTTGTGGAAGCTAGATACTCGGAATCGAGGGGAATCTCGTCGTTGTATCGTGCGTCTTAGCGGAAAGTCAGACGATTGCTTCTCAACCGTGCTCATATTGCCGAGTCAAACCAAGGCCAGCTGGACAAAGAGGGTTATTGGGCATGAGATATACCCATACATGCCTCTGCAGTCCGTGAATGAGGCTTTTGCAAAGACGGCAAAGGGTTTGTCTATTTCCGGAGAATTGCTTCGTTTCCATCGAGCATAGAAATGACCGGTTTGGTAGAGGTTTTGCAATGAATAGTTTACAGGGCTCCATGTGCATTTTGCTAGGATTTCAGGCACCTGTATCATCCAGGCCGTTGATGTAACGAATCTACATCAACCATAGCCTGTTGATATGTGTTGCTTCCAGCGGACTGCAAGTGTCCACAGACAGTATCTCGATTCCACGAAGCTCTGAGGCGCAACCATCTGAGTGTTGGTAATACCGTGTTTCTACCAACGTGAGGGCCGTAGTGTTCGTTGGTGGCCTCTTGTGAAGAAGATAGTAGAGGGGAGGTGGGCGCCAATCAAGGAGGAAACGCTCAATTATGGGAAAACGCATGTACGGAGTGCATGAACTGGAACACTATTACTATTAATGTTCAATACATGGAAAGGAAACTGGGGAAGACCAATGAAAAGGGGTCTAGTGCACACCCCAAAAGCAGCCTACTACATTGGCTTTAAAAAGCAGTCTACTACATTGGCTTTTAAAAGCAGTCTACTACATTGGCAGCAAAAGGGCCCATCACGCTCAGGCACAGGCAACACATGAACCTGGACAGAAGCAAGGTTGCATTCGTAGCACCCAACGAAGACAATCACGATCCATACAATACAGCGTCAAGTACGCCTCCTATGTGCGAGGGAGCGTATCTTCATGATGAAAGTGGTGGACCAAGATCTGACATGGCAGAGTCAAAGGTGGCATGATGCACATCTTCACCGTTCGAATCTTCCTTTGGCAAGTGATTGGACATAGCGAAAAATAAATCTGCGAACACAGTTTTCCCAGACTTACGGTTTTCTCCTGAGTCGTATCACTCTCATACGGAGAGCATGTGCTCTAAATGAGAGGGAGCGAACAGCACTGCACCCCGTGCTGTAATGAAAAAAGGGGAGGGGTGCCAGGACTGTAGCCCCACGCATTAACCTAGCGGAAGGCACTAGAACTGTACCCCTCTGCGACATTTGAACAGCGGCAGCATAAAACTGCACCCCTGTGTTGAGAGCGATTTGAGCTCGAGGAAGGCTGTTATAAGTGGAGAGCATACCACAAAATTGGGCAAGGACAGATCTGAGAATGAATTTCCAACGAAGAAAACTCAGCAACTCAATGAGAGGCAGATTCATTACAGTGAGCTAGATGTAGCTAGTTTGAGAAGTGAACTGGCAGAAGGACTAAGGTAGAGTCAAGAACGAACTCTTTGCAGCAAACAAGGCATGGCACTGCGTGGAAATATAATATGTGCGAACAGGATATGGGACCAGAAAATGTTTATCAACAAGTTTACTCTAGACTCAGCATTTATGTTCAGGCTGATCTCAAGTTTGACGTTCAAAACAGACTCAAGCCAGATTCAGAGTGTGGCGGACCCACCAGGTGTGGTGCTCCGCCAGAGATAGAGATGGAGATGGAGGAAGAAGGGGGAGCGAGATGGCACAGCGCAGCTCCCACGCCAGACCCCAACGCACGTACTCCAAACTGTGCAAATACAAAATGATGAGAAAAACAGACAACCGCTGGGGTATACCCCAACGGACTGACGGGACTGGACTGGACTGGCTGGTACCGACAGAGATACCAGCCTGGACTGGACTGCCCCAAATACAACACAAGCCTGTGAGAACAGGCCAAGGGGCTGGTCTCACAGGCCAACCAGAGGTCCGCTACACGATCCTCGGTCTGTGATGGATCGCCTAGATACAAGCACGCTTCCGCCAAGAAGCGGAACTCTACCAAAGAAAAAGAAAACGTGAGTGGTCTAGGATGCGGAGCAAGCTCCATGCTGAGTCCATGCGATGCAACCTAGGATACCAAATGTCACAAAAACAGCAATGTCACAGCTAACAGCCTAAGTGAAAGCAAAAGCAACTAACTAGCATACATGTCCTAGGAAAGCAGAAAGTAATGACAACTAGGTCCTAGAGTGTTGGAGACAGTAGCCTCAGTTTGGAAACAACTGACTAGTGTATAAGTCCTAAGAAGAACAAAAGCAGAACAACTAAATCCTAGAAATGTCAGAGGCAGTAGCCTCAGTCTGAGAGCAACAAAGCAACAACAAGACAACCATATGTCACATGAGAAGTGTGTCGCAAACCAAAGGTTGGGATGGTCTCTGAGTGTGGCGAATGCAGCCTAGGGGTCGATAACTCCTAAGGGCATCCACACATAATGACAGGGGAAACACATGTCATCAGGATCAATGAGGGTAGGGAACTGGGAGCGAACAAAACCAATGACCCTAACAGATAGACCATCAGGGCGGGTAATGCTCGACTTAAGGGGTGACTGCTATGGAGGGTCGACCATGCAAAGGAACAAGGGAGCCTGGTATACTGGGCGCACCTAGATGAAGCATGCGGGGCTGCCTAACTAGGGCGTGAGGGCCGGCAGAGGGTAGAAAGGTGATGGGTAAGGGAATCATGCAAATGACTCCTGAAGTGAGGGAAGTCGGAGCTAGATCCATAAGCTGGGAAACCAGGGCAACACTACGGTCCCGATGCCTATGCGTATACCAAGGGGGAGCCCAACTCAGAGGAACCCAGCGAAGGGAGACCATCATGCGACACAACCAGGGTACTGTACAGGGTAAAGTGGTAAGAAAGTGATGATGTCTGAAGTAGGCAGAGCTGATCGTGACGAAGTCCATGAAGCTGTCGATGACGTCCACGATGAGAAGTCTGGAATGCCGTCGAGGAAGAGCCGCAACGTCGACGAGCTGAAGTAGCAAAACTGGAGTGGATGGAGTACTGAGAAGTCAAAGACGTGGGAAGGTAAGTCAGAGTCAATCGTCGTATTGAGGAGGACGACGACGAATGCGCTGTGGACGCTCAGAAGCATCCGGCTGCTGCTGAAGGTCTGCCTCCGAAGGGGTAGGCTCGACTTTAACGGTCTCCTCAACCGAGGGAGAAGGAGGAGGGTCAGTGGGCTGAGGGGGAGCAGTCGACCCAGCACGACGAGCACGGTCATAGGCACGCACCAACATGCGAGCGTGCTGCAGGTGCTCGAGGGGCTCCCAGGTAGCCTCGTGATCAGGGTAACCCTTCCAACGTACGAGATACTTGACGTGGGGAGGGTTGTCGTCGGTGACTTGGCGACCAATGATGTCTGAAACGAGGAACTCCTCGTGGCCGTCCACCATGATGGGTGGAGGGCGCTCGTATGGTCGTCCAGCGAAACGCTTAGACGGTCTGCGGTAAGGACGCAGTAACGAGACGTGGTAGACATCGTGCACACGAGTCTGGCGTAGGTAGTCGGGCAGCTTCACACGGAAGCTGACCGGGCTAGATGTTATATCAGAACCGACGGCCTGGAGGATGCGGCATGGGCCAAAGAAGCGACGTCGGAATTTGCAAAGCGTGTCCGCTTCGAGCTGTGGCGGGCGTCGATAAGCACATCATCACCGACTTTGAATGGATGATCCATCCTCCATCGGTTTGCACGTGCGGCCATGGGAGTCTGGGAAGCGGCTATGTGCTCATGTGCGATGTCATGTGTGCAACCCAATCATCCAGTGCGGGACAACTCGTGTCGGGGTGCATCTGTGACGGTCGAAGGAAGTCCGCGGGAACACGAGGGTGATAGCCGAGGTCGCAATAGTAAGGCGACATCCCCGTGGCTGGCGAGACGGCGTGGTTGTAGGCTATCTCCGCGTGGGCGAGATGGAGATCCCACTGCTGGTCGTCACAAACAATCTTTCGGAGAATATCTCCGAGAGTCCTGTTCGTGACCTCGGTCTGACCATCAGTCTGGGGATGGTAAGACGAGGAGAAGCGGAGCTGGGTGTCGTAAACCTCGTGGAGGCATCGCCAGAATCGGCTGGTAATGCGAGGGTCACGGTCAGATATGATGCTCAGAGGTAAGTCGTGGTCACGCACGACTCGGTCAAACACGATGTCGGCGACCTCACGTGCACTGATGGCATAGCGACACGGAACAAAGCGTGCACGTTTCGTGAAGCGGTCGACGACGACAAGGATAGCATCATGACCGCGGGGGGTCGGAGGACAAAGAGGACCGATAAAGTCCATCGAGATGGACTGCCAACGACCCTCAGGGATAAGAAGAGGCTGGAGCAAACCATAAGGAAGGTGGTTTGCACTGTTCACCTCCTGACAGGTGGGACACTCGGCGACGTAGTCCTTCACAAAGTCCTTGTGCTTCGGCCAGACGTACAGGCGGCTCACACGAGCCAACGTCTTGTGGAAGCCCATATGACCGGCGACTGCCTGGTCATGAAACTCTGCTACTGCCCGGACACGTAGCTGTCTAGTGGAGGGAACGCAAATACGGGGCTCTCTGGTGCCCTGTGAACCGTGCCAGTACAGAAGACCGTTGTCCCCGAGAGAGTAGTTCGGGACGGTCTTGCCACTCCGAAGGGTCGCGTGGATATCGCGATAGTCGGGGCAGTGGCGATACTGAGTGCGAAACTCGTCGATCACCGAGTGGTGGACGGTGGTGACCGAGATGGAAGAGAGATGGATCTGCTCCTGGTCGTGGTCAGGGTGCCGGGATAAGGCATCTGCGACCCGATTAGTCTCACCCTTGATGTGCTCAGTGGTGAAACTAAACTCGGATAGGTCACGCCACCAACGAGCCTATCGAGGAGTGAGCTTCAGTTTTGTCAGAAAAGCCTGGATAACAAAGTTGTCCGTACGCACCGTGAATGGTGCCCCGTGCAGGTAGTGACGCCAGTGCCGAGCGGCATAAACTACTGCGAGAACCTCACGTTCATCAGCGGTGTAGTTTATCTCGGCGGGCAGGCGCTGACGGGAGTAGAAGGCTTACAGACAATCACCTGAGCGAGACTCGACAGTGCCGTCCTCGACGATGGTAGGAGAATAGTCAATAGAGGGCTCGGCAGTAGCTGGACGAGTAGGCGTCAAGCGGGAGGCACTGGTAAGGGTAGGGGGTGGGAAGCGAGGGATATGAGGATGAGAGGAATCACGAGAGGAGGGGAAAATATGAGAAAGCACTACTCCTACAACAAAGTCTGACGCATCGGTGGTAAGGATAAAAGGGTGATCAAAATCGGGTAGGTGAAGAACCGGTGCACATGTCACCGTCTTCTTGAGGAGGGGTGTCCAAGCCCATGGCGGGTTCTTCCAGAGGAGGGTGGAGGTAAGGACGTAGGAATACCTAGCGTATCCCTGAATGAAATTACTAGAGTAGCTGGTAAGGCCTAGGAAGCTGTGAAGTTGCTTGGCGGATGTGGGGACGGGCCGCTCCGCAATAGCAGTGATCTTCATGTCGTCCATGTGGAGACCCTGGTCAGACACGTAGTGTCCTAAGAAATCCACTTTGTGCCGGGCAAAGCGGCACTTGCTCAGCTTGGCATAGAAGCCAGGTTTGTGCAAGCGGTCAAGGACGTCGTGGAGGTGTCTGAGGTGCTCCTCAAGGGTATGACTGTAGTCCAGGATATCGTCGAGGTAGACGAGAACGTACTGCTCCAAGATGTCCCTGAAGATGTCGTTCATTGCCCTCTGGAAGGTAGCGGGTGCGTTGGTGAGGCCGAATAGCATCACCGTAAACTTGTAGTGGCCGAAGCGCGATCGTAACGTTGTCTTCGGCTGGTCCGCTGCAGCGACGCGGATCTGATGGTAACCGCTACGAAGATCAATCTTCGTAAAGAAGCGGTTGCTTGCTAGGCGGTCGAACAGCTCGTCGGAACGAGGCATGGGGTAGTTGTTCTTAACCGTGTAGTGGTTGAGACCGCGATAGTCGATAGAGACGGAGAGTTTCATCCGCTTTGCGAGCAAAGAGGACGGGTGCACCCCACGGGGAGTTGTTGGGTTTAATGAAACCCTGTCTCAGGAGCTCCTCAAGTTGGCGCTTGAGTTCAGTGGCCTCGAGGATCGAGAGTCGATAGGGTGCCTGCACTGCCTGGTGGTGAACACGATAGTCAGGCACAAGCTGGATGCAGTGCTCGACGTCGCGCATCGGTGGGATGCCGGCGTACAAGAACGTCATGGTACTCTCGAATGAGGTCATGAACTGCGGGCTCCAGGTCAGCCGTATATCGTGCGAGTTCCTCAGCGTCAGCGTCAGCGCGTGACGGCGGGGTGGACTCGACGGACGGCAGGGGGACGGAAAGTAGAGATGGGAGCCATGGAGAAAGAAGGAGGATCAGGCTCCAGAGGGATGAGCTCGGCGTCGGGACAGGGTGGATCATAGTGTAAGAGATCCGTCATGTTCACCATAAAGAAGGTGACGTCGTCCCGTCGGATGAAGTGGGCGAACTGCCGAGGCGAGGTAACAGTGATAGAAGGAGATGGTGTGGGCACGAAAGGCTCCGGGGGAGGGGGATCGGGGCGTGGTGTCGTAGTGGTACCCATGAAAGGTACGCGATACGTCTGTCCACACTTTGTTTTGAGAACGAGAGTGTTGGTCGCCCAATCGGCCTCGGTGCTGCGGAACCGACGAGACCACGGAGTGCCGAGAATGAAGTCATACCCCGTCTCCATCACATCGAAATGTGCAGAGGAGCGGTGGCGACAAGATGCCGGGGGACGATCAGTCGGCTCGAGAGTGAGGAAGAAAGGGAGATCGGTGACCGTCTGATCGAAGAAGCGCTGGGTCTTATCATCCCCTAGGGTGACAGAGATGGGAGTCGGAGACCCTGTCGTGGGTAAGCGGGCTTCTTTCACCACATGTGGGTGAATGAAGTCGCCCTGAGAACCGGAGTCCCACAACGCTGAGTACACCCTCGTGGAGGTCCCCAGTCGTACGGGGATGATCGGGAGGGTGCGATCAGGGTCAGAGAGGATGGTGAGAAGGCGACGCAGTGCAGCGACATGGAGGGTGAGTCGCTCTTGACGAGCCTGGAGCATGCTCAAGTCCAGAAGAGAGGACACAACGTCCTCGTGAGTAGCGAGCTACTCGCTGCAACGGGCTAAGCGAATGGCTCGACGCGTCGGTAGTCGCGGCGGGGTAGGAGGGGAGACGGTGGTTTGCTGCTTTCACCGGAACTGTCCGTTGTGACCAGCACTATGTCCCCTGACAATGGGACCTGCTGAGAGTAAACTAAGATCAACTCACTGAAAATGAAAATTGAACTCATTGGGATCGAGGTCACTGAGACCGAACTGAAACTGACTTGATGCTTTCGCGAAAGCCGCACTTGGATATTAAATCAAAAATGAACTGAACTTGTTGAGATGAAACTGGAACTGATCTCGCTGAACTTACTGGAACCAAAATGAATTTGAAAAAACTGAATCCGTTGAGACTGAACTTAAGAAAACTGAACTGCATCCTTTGAGACTGAACTGAACTTGTTTGTAAATGGAAACAGGATTATGAATTGAACTGTGACTTAATGTCATACTGAGAGGATCACTGATTTGCAACTGAGAATTCACTGAAGACTGAAACGGAATCTTTGCTGAAATTCTTACCGAAAACTGAAATTGTTTTTCTTTGTTTTGAACCTCCGGACTGAAGTTGCTGAGATTGGACTAAAACCACTGAAGTAAAACGAGTGAATACTAATCAGGTATTGTAACAGAACTGACCCGTAACTTTGTTTTTCCTTTGCAAGAGGTTTACCTTCACCATGTGATGAGTCTGATATCACAAAGAGCGTGTTCAGTTCACCGAGTCCGAATTCACCAAAATTGGATTGAGTTTGCTCTTATCTAAATCACTCACTGTTTCCTATTCCGGGTCTGTTCAGAATTAGGTTGCACTCTGATTGTTGTTCTAGTTGTCGCATAATGTCTGGCCTTAGTCTGTTTCTCAGTGCCCGATATCTGTTCTTGCTCAAAGTGGCGCTCTAGTTACTGCTCATAACCAAACATGTGTCTAGGCCTTGACCGGTGCTTGAAACATGCGAGTTCTGAGTCGGAACTCAATCAGAACGAGAGCTTGGCTACCGTATGTGCTTAACTCCGATCAGGAAATGAACCTGAGCCTGATCACAACATACATCTCAGTCTGATTGGAGAAGAATGGGTAAGCCTAGTCAGGAACATATATCTCAATCTGATTGGAAGGTGAGTCATAGTTTGTTGTAAGAGTGAAACTCAAGACCACCTGAACTGTCTGAACATGTGCTTTGTGTAGCGGACCTCTGGTTGGTCTGTGAGACCAGCCCCTTGGCCTGTTCTCACAGGCCTGTGTTGTATTCGGGGCAGTCCAGTCCAGGCCGGTACCTCTGTCGGTACCAGCCAGTCCAGTCCAGTCCCGTCAGTCCGCTGGGGTATACCCCAACAGTGTCTGTTTTTCTCATCATTCTGTATTCGCACAGTTTGGAGTACGTGCGTTGGAGTCCGGCGTGGGAGTTGCGTTGTGCCATCTTGCTCCCCCTTCTTCCTCCATCTCCATCTCTATCTCTGGCGGAGCACCACACCTGGTGGGTCCGCCACACTGGTATCGGAGCGGGAACGTTCCCCGCTCCCACCCACCACCCTGTACAGCCGGGAAAACAGCAAAACCTGACAGGCGGGTTTTTGGCTGTTTTCAGGCTTTTTTTCGACGAAAACGAGGGACAAAAGAAACTGCAGCAGCATGTGACACGTGGCGAAAAAAGCACATGTCATCACGAGCGCACGCGAAGGCCGCCGCACGAGCGCGCGCGCCACGCGCCCACGCTGCCCCGCCTCACACCCCGAATTTATATTATCAAGATCCGGGATCTTGCTGCCACTGGGGTTTGAACCCAAGCACCTGCTGGGCTTGCGCGTGCATGAGCTACTCCTATAACACACTCGACATACTGCATGTATGGATCTGCAGTGTGGCACGCTGCTGTTGAAGAGGTGCGTGCCACCTATTTACCCCCCCCCCCGCCGCCACCGGCGAGCAGCGAGCAGCAGAGCAGCAACGGTGGGGCTGCTATTTGCCTCCCCCCGCCGTGGTTGCTGCTGCCTGCGCACGTGGCCATCTGCAGTGCCACGTGGCACCTTGCTGTTGAACTGAAGACCCCCCTGCTAAGGGGGCTACTCTACACTGGTGAGGGTCTGCTCACACAACATACCCTAGATCTGCAGATCTGCACTACTGCTGCTAGGGGCTGATCAAGATCTCAGCCTCCCCCCTCTCTCCTCCAGCTGGCTTGCTGCCACGAAGGCCAAGACCCTCCTGGTCTTGGTATACCTTGTGCCCTTGGAGAAACCAAGGGCCAGGTATCACTTCCCTCTCCCCTCTCCCCACTAATCCCCTTTCTCTACCTCCTCTCTCTCCTCTTACTCACCCCACTCACTCCCTTCTAATCACTCTCACTACTCACACCCCTCTCCCCACCCCACCTTTTCTCTCACCACCCCACTATTCTCCTCTATTTTATTCATTTATTTCTTTTTTTTCTCCTCTTTTCTCTCTGCTTCTTGATCCCTCTCCACCTTTCCCATCCCTATCTCTCCCATTCTCTCCCCCAACAACCCCATCACTTCCCCCATCTCTCCCTTCACTCTTTCTCTTTCTCCCACCTATTTCTCTCTTTCCTCCTTCACTTTTTCATTCCCCTTCCCCCCTAATTCAAATTTTTCTGTTTTTCTTCTTTTCCCTTTCTCTTTGATTTCAATCTTCTCTTTTCTCCAAAAATTCGAACTATCTTATTTTCCCCCCTCCCTTCTCATTTTCT